TATAGTTTCAAGAATCTTAATAAAGTACTAGCGTAACTGCTTAAGGTTAAAAAAAAAAAAAAAAAAAAAAAAAAATTAAAATCATTTAAACCAAATTCAAAATTAAGTAAATTGAAATTAAATTTATTTAAACCTAATTCAAATTAAGTAAACAAAATTAAACTTAATTAAAACTAATTCAAATACAGTCAACTCTCTTTATAATTATAAGTTGGAATGATAATAACTTTTTTTAAAAATATGTTTATAAAAAGGTTGTATTTTATATAAAAATTATATATATATTTTTATAATAATTTGTTTAGCAAAATTAAGTGTTTATATAGAAGTGTAATTATATAAAGTGTGACTATATAAAGGTTTAACTGTACAAGTAAACCAAAATCTGGTTTACTTGAACCTAATTCAGATTCAAGTAAACTCAATTTTAGTTTATTTAATTTGAATTAGGTTTAAATAAACCCAATTTTGATTTACTTGAACTTAGATTTGATTTAAGTAATTCTGATTTTGGTTCAAATTTAGTTTAAGTGAACCAAAATCGGGTTTATTTGAACCTAATTTTGATTTAAGTGAACCAAAATTAGGTTTACTTGAACCTAATTCAGGTTCAAGTGAACCGAAATTAGGTTTACTTAAACCTAATTCAGGTTCAAGTAAACCAAAAGTAGCTTTACTTGAATCAAATCCGGGTTCAAATGAACCAACTCGAGTTCACTTAAACCTAATCCGGGTTCAAGTGAACAAAATTGGGTTCACTTGAACCTAATCCGGGTTTGAGTGAACCAAAATCGGGTTCACTTGAACCTAATTCGGGTTAAAGTGAACCAAAATCAGGTTCACTTGAACCCAAGTCTAAAAGTTTAAAAAGTTATAAATTAAAATTATAAAAACTTAGAGACCTAGCCCCCGGAGCAAGTATTTTAACAATTATTAGAAAGTTCGTCACTACGCTTGGATTTTAATACAAGTTTAGCAATCATACTGCGTTCCTAGTTTAAGCGCGACGTTAGTCGCGCAGCTAGCTACCTTTATCTAAGTAAGTAAAAACTTATTTAATTAAAAAAATCCAAAAGTGCCGGTCTAGTTATGTTTTTCTTTTTGAAAAAATAAAGCTCAAGTTCACATTATACATAGTATTTTGTATTGATATGCACAATTTTTTAGATTTTTTAGTCAATTAAAATACTTTGTGCACTATAATACGAATATCAGTATGGTATGAATGACCTGATCAGCCTGGTATTTAGTTTAGTTTGGTTACATTAATAATCTACAACTTGCTGTTTTGCTATAATGTAAATCACATGAGATACTCTGATTAACCCTCTTATTTGAGACGGTTTCTTCTGTTATATGTATGACAATGTTGATCCCATTTATATATATAATCATGAATTATTTTTCTTTTGCAGGACTTGCTAAAAAATGGACATAAATTCTCTTTTTAACGTCAAGGATAAAATTGTGTTGGTAACCGGTGGATCACGTGGGTAAATATCCAAAAAAGAAGAATTTCGTCTTTCAAAAGGATTAATATTTATATGTTCTAAATCATCCATAAATTCATACATATAATAAAGTATTGGTCTGATGATATCAAAAGGTTTTATAGCTAATGGAGCTACAGTTTATATTTCTTCGAGATCAGTTAATGCATGTGATCAAGTTGCTAAAGAATTAAACGCAAAAGGTACTGTTTCAAAGATTTATTTAACTTTAAAATAAGAATAATTAGATTTTAATCAATGGTAATTTTGTAAAGGACCTGGTAAAGCGATTAGTTTACCAGCTGATTTACAACAATTGAATGAATGTAAAAGATTAGTTGATGAAATTGCGAAGCGTGAAGGAAGTAAGTTTCATAATTTGATTCTAAAAATCAATAATTACTATCTCTTGGATTAAAAAGTGTAACATTCTATTTTTTGTGGCAAAAGAATTACACGTTTTAGTTAATAATGCCGGTGCAAATTGGGGTGCATCGTTTGACAAATATCCTGAAGAAGCTTTTGAGGTTTATATAATTTTGTCACACTACTTATACATTGGATTTATTCTAATATCAAAACAAAATTTCATAATTACTATAAAAGAAAGTGATGAATTTGAATCTCAAACGTGTTTTTAGTTTAACGCAAGCGTAAGTTCTATTTAATGCTAAAATAACGATAATATTTTGATTAAAATAATACATAAACTGAAAATTTATCGTGCAATTTAGCGCGCTACCCTTACTAGAAAAAGCAAGCACACAAGATGATCCGGCAAGAGTAATTAACATCGGTTCAGTTGACGGTAATACCATTTTTAAAACACTTTCTTAAAATTTTATTATCTAAAAAATATTTTTCCAATGTAGGCGAAAGAGTCCCACCTTTAGAAACCTACGCCTATCCAGCTTCAAAAGCCGCACTTCGTCATCTAACTAATGTTCTAGCCGGTAATCTTTCACAACGTAACATAACCTTCAATACAATAGCACCTGGTCCATTTGAATCAAAAATGATGGCAACAACATTAAAAACATTTAATAAAGGATTTAAGGACTTAATCCCATTAGGCAGAATTGGTAGTCCAGAAGATATCGCTGGGACTTGCATTTATTTATGTGGTAGAGCTGGCGCATATACTAACGGTGCTACTATTTCAGTTGATGGTGGATACTTATGTAATAAGCCTAGATTGTAAAAATTATTTATTTTATTTACCAGAAAGATGTATAATGTTGGTGGACAGAAGCTCGCTAAATTTTGATATTTCAGAAGAACAATTTGTCAAAAAATGGTTGAGTAATTTTTGAATCAATATATTCTAAATTTAAAGAACTAAATCTATATATATATATATATATATATAATATCTGTTTCAAATTCAAAATCTTATAACATTTTATAAAAAGTTCATCACTGTTCAAACTACAAACCTCCATATAACTTACAGTTTACTTATCAACTACAAAAGGCTTCTTTGGTAACACTAATTTTTCATTCCTTTTCCAGAAGTCTAATAAAGCGGTGGCTGTTTTTTCTGGTATATCTTCTTGGACCATATGTCCTGCTTCTGGTAATACCATTAGTTGATATTTTCCTACATTGGAAAATGTACGTTGAGCAAATTTGAAATAGATATAAAATGTATAAAATGACAATAAAAATTAAATAAATCAATAACCTTGCATTTGAGCAATTGTTAACGGTTTGTCTAATCGATCGGTACCTAAGATATTCCATAAAATAATAATTATTGCATAAATATTTATCGATAAAATTTATTTTATATTTAAAATACCGGCAAGGATAAGTAATTTTGCAGCGCTGGGGGACAGAAATTTTTCAGATAATCCAGAAAACCACCCTGTAAAAAAAGAAATTAAAAATTCAGTGTTCTTCATTTAAACATATATAAAATAGAAGGATCAAACCTTTCCAATGTGGTTGCGTTGCAGCTAAATCAGTTCTCCAAGTATATTTTTTTATGTTTGTACAAGTTTCTTGTTCGATTAATAGACAAGGTATGGAAATTCTGGCCGATTCAAGATTGCGAATTGTACCTGACTTTTTGCTAAAATCAAATGGAATAGATGAGATAATGTAAATAAGTGTTATGTGAAAATTTTTTTGAAATCTGTAAACTGTTAATTGAGCTTATTACCTCCATCGAATCGCATCTTCTACGGTTTTGAATTCACTCGGTCTATTTCTACAAAAGTTTAGCATACCTGAAAGTGCTTCCATTGCAGACCCTAAATTATAATAATAATAATAATAATAATAATAATAATAATAATAAAACTTTTATGGAAGCTAAACACATTCTCTTTAATATTATTATAATAAACAAACCTTCAACAACATCGATCACAGCCATACAAGTCACGGAAGGTATTAAGTTTTTTGATGCTGCATCTGCTACAACGCAACCTCCCATACTAAGGACAAAAAAGAATTATGAAGCTATCTAATTTAGTAATATTTTTATATAACATAAAAAATAAAGTTACCTATGCCCCACCAAGAAAATTTCTCGATTTGTTATAACATCATCCCCAAAAGCTGCTTTCAAAACATCTGTTAAATCTTGACTTAATTGATCCAATGATAAATTGAGATCATCAGAAGTTTTCGTTTTCCCTATATTAATATAATATATATATATATTTACATCAATAATGTGAAATTGGAAATTGGTTAATAATTTAAAACGACTTACCATGGCCTCTACAATCATACGCAAATATAGTAAATTCACTGTTTGTTAAATTTTTAATATGTAAAGCGGCTAAGGCAAAAGATAAACCAGAATATCCAGCACCGTGATGAAGTACAAATAATGGACCACCATTGTTTTCCGCTTTGCTCTGGATATCATAAGCTCTGAATATGTAAACCAGTCCGAATATGGAGCTTAGTCAAGAATTTTATAATTATCATCTTTTTAAAATTTTTGTTAGGATAACAAGTGAAACATAACTAAAAAGGATATATTTTCAGAATTTGGTATTTTTATATCTCTGCAGCTATCGAAACAAGTTTCCCAGGGAATAGGTATATATTTATTTTTTCTATATAATAAATGATTTCACCCGCGTATTTTCAATAATAATAAACTTTACAAGTTAAAACTCTCAATAATATCCAAGAACCTACGTGATAGAGAAGCTTCTGAAGTTGCTTTTCTCAGCTCCTTTTATTACTGTCTTCGAGTCGTTGTCGTCTTCTTCTTCTTCTTCGATTAACATTACTGGTTCTGACAACGCAGTACTTTTATTTCCTTTTTTAAATATATCCTTTTGCAAAGAAGACATTTTTAACGTTAACTGAATACCGATACGTTCTACGTATCAAACGTGTGATAATTTTTGATTGGTCGATTTTCATTTGCTGCCACAATTCATAGCAATAGTAACCATGGTACGTACGTACGTACCGTGGACCTGGGTACTTTAATTATCGTCACTATTCTAGAATGTGCACGCAGTGTTGGCTTTTTTTGTCTAACGTCCAAGCATCCAAGAGTGTCCAAAGCATGTCCAAGCTCTAATAATTAATAAATTTGTCTAAAAAATATGATTATATTTTTCACTTAGAAAAGTATATAGTCCCATTGACAACACTGAACCTGTAACCGATTACCAAATCGAAAGAACACAAAGATCAGAATTTAGCGCGAGCTTTTTTTACTTAATATTCGATATTTAAAAATATTTTCATATAACTAAAATTTCGTGCTGAAAACTTTTATTTAGAAGTCAAACTGTGGTTATCATAGTAAAATCTTGAGTTATTTGCGATTTTTTGTTTTCACAATGCTTTTCGAATTTTTTTAAGTTACACGAGATCTTGTGATTTTATTGGCTACAATTAGCGATGATCGACATAACCTGTCACAGATTCAGTACGTGCAAGCTCAGAATTAATAATGACCACGATGAAGTGCTGTTTTTAATAGCGAACATAATACCTAATAAGAAATTTAGTATAATAATGGCCAATTTGGTTTGTTATAAAATGAGATAACGGTATACAAATATCCGATTATTATACACATATAAAGAATAAGGCAATTAGCAGTATCCTTAAGGTTCTACTGTAATATGGATACAGAGATATAAAATAATAATAATTTGTCCAAATTTAAACGTTAAAGTTCAGTGATATGATTGAGATATTTTTATTTCAGCCGCTGCTAAGTATTTAATAAAAATAAACGTATAGTAATGTTAGGTTATTATATACATAAAAAACTAAATACGATCAACTCTTTCTATAACAAACTGACGGTTCTGAAAGAAAAAAAAACAATCGTTATAAAAGTTACTGTTTTCTTAAGGACTCATAGCACTCTCTATACCGAGCTATTACGAAATTTTAAATTTTGATTTTGTGCTTTGCCACTAGAGTTCAGGGCACAGGGGCATAGGGCATGCCCTTGTCATATAATGTTTAAAGTTATTTTAATTGGCTAATAGGTTCAGGTAAACTAGAACCGTAGATACTAAATTAACATGTAAGATTTTTAAACTATGTGTTAATCATATAATTTAAAAAGGGCATGCCCATGGGCATGAGAGGCATGCCTTAGCTTAGGGGCATGCCCATATAGGCATGCCTAATTTTTTTCCCATGCCCTGAACTCTATTTGCCACTAAAGATTCTACTCGAACTATGTAATGATTTGCCGATCCGGCTAATTAGCATTGATTAACGTATAATAAGTTTTTAAGACTAAAATTTATACGTAGAACATAGTAAAATCTGTTGATCTGTTGCGTGTATAGCGTAAGATGAAATCTGCGTTTAGCTATGTTTTTTTTTTCATCATACAAAAGCGGATTTCACCCTCATGTGATCTAACTTCCCTAGTGTCACCCAGAAATCAGTTACGTATTATTTTTTGTTTTTATTTAATTCTCACTATATATATGTATATTCTTTTTTTACTAACACTTCAATTTAATTTTCATAAAAACGAAAAATACATCGTCAATAAAAAGTATCCGATTTACACTCATTCCATGCCTTTCTATAAATGTTTGCATAAATTACTTCTCTTAAGTGGCATCCACAATTTACGTCAAACCAGTATTGTTATCTCTTAAACTGTTTGAAATTCAGAGCAAATTTGTCTTGAATTTTATTATAAAAATACTTTTATCTATTTTTTCAAACAATAGATATATTTAAATAAAATTTTTTTTAGTAATATTTAAAAAGAAGGATTATATTTTTACAAAATTTATATTTAAATTATAAGATAAAAAATTTAACTTGCTTATAAGTCAAAAATATATAAATTTTAAAAACTTTTTGACTAAAAAAAATAATTTATATTTTTTTAATAAACTTTTTAAATATTAATTTTACATCTATAATTATTTAATAAAAATTTTTGTTTAAATAAAGAATAATAATATTTATTATTATGATTTCTATGATTTACTTATAAAAATTAAAACTTGTATTAAAAATAAAAAAATTTTTTATAGATGAAAACATATAAAATTTGAAAATTTTAAAGAAAAATTTTATAATAAAAAATTCAAAATAAAAAGGTTAAACTTTTATTATTCTTAGCTTTTTAAAAGATTTAAAAAATTTTTTAATTAACTTATTAAAATATATTTTAAAATATATTTTTTACTTAGAAAGTACAGTCAATCTCCGTTAGTATCAACCTTATTAATATCAACCTAAGCCACAAATCAAATTTTTATAAATTATTATACATCAAAATTCTCTCATATATATCAACTTTAATATAATTTCTCGTTAATATCACTATCAACATAATTTAAAAAACCAATCCAAATGGGTTGATATAAACAAGGGTAGACTGTATATATCTAAAATCAAATTTTCAAATTTTATTTTAAAAATAAGGTTTTTAAAAAAATTTCAGGACAAATTTGCAGGAGAAACGGTTTAAGAGATAAGTATATTAAAGATAATACAAACATAATACATACTATATGCGCACCACTTGAATATATTAAATATTTATATATGATAAAATTCATAATTTTGTAAACATCTGAATGATGCACACAATTCTTTTAGTGTGCTTTAGGAAGAACGATTACTATACGATAATACCGTTATTGCTGTATTGTATAAAGTTAAAAATATGCACGTGGGTATCAAATGGCAACATGTGATTGGCCGCTACGCGGCCAATCACCTGCTACCGTTTGATGTACGTATACAATAACTATATTTTAAATCCAGACATAACAGTATATTGGTTTGGTTACGATGTAATTAATATAATTTGTATTAATTATATTTATATAAATTAAGTATCGATATATGCATAGGCATTTATCCCTGATAAACTCGTGATTTTCAATATTAAATGCGCAGTAACGTCATCTCACCATAAGCGAAAAAAAAAACAAATCACGAGTACGTGCAACATTTACTTTGTCACGACTATAACCTGGATCGTAAACAAAAGACATATACTCTCTACGAACTTTTTGATTATTATCTTTCGAACCATCATGATCTTTTATATCCCTTTATTTGGGGCCGTGTCTAGGGATGCACCGGTCCTGCAAAAAGGACAGGGTCTCTGGCCGGATATTGATCTACATATTGCATAGATCGTATTTTGATATTTTTATAAACCACTCACCCTAAATGCATCAAAAAAGTAACCCCTGATTTAGTCATTCCCAAATTTGGTTTGAAAACACGTTTATTTTGGGAATGTTGGGAATGCTATTTAAATCTACACGCGTGCCCAATTTTTCTGTTACAACAATTTTTCCACAACATTGTTAATGTAAACATGCACCCATACTTCATTACTCGTAGGCCATCTAAATGGAATGTGACTCGAAATTAACGAGAGCGAAGCTAAGCATATACCTTAAGTGCTTGAACGAAATCATTGATACTGAGGAAGGCTCAAGGCGTAACAAAGCTCTAGAACTGTTTCATAGCTATAAAGAAGTACGAACTTTTTTTTTTATTATAAATATAAAAAATAAAAAATGGTAGCGTGCCGAAGACCTTCAATGCTTTTCGCCATTCAAGCTGCCCAAGCTAGTGTTGGGGCATCAGGTAACCTTTATGCTTGCCTGATGTGCAAGCCTTCTAGCAACTCAATTCTAGCCCCACCGGGGCACAAGTAACCTTTTATGCTTGCCTGATGTTCAAGACTTGAAGCCGAGCCACTAAGCTATTGGAGAATCAGGTGACCTTCAGAGCTTACCTCTTTCTAAACCTAGCTTAATCGGGGCACAGGCAACCTTCTATGCTTGCCTTCTTCTAAGCCGACCTGGTGGGCCTTAGCATAACCATCCAATAATATGATTATATTAAATTATATGTATTAAACTTGATACATAAATGATTTTGATGGTTACTTTAAGTTCGTCGAAATTAGATAAGATTAGTTAAGAATATTTAATTTACTAAGTTTTTATACTAGGGTGATGATTGTGAAGTCGTTAAGAATTGGAAATCGGATCGCAAATTAAAAGAAACAACTTCGATTAATATTCAAAATACGATTTTGAGAGGTGCACAAACAATTAGAACCTTTAATGACCAAACTTTTATTACTAAATATTCCAAATCAAAAAAAAGATATCGAGAAGAGGTATTAATTAACATCTTTCTTCTTCTTTAGGAATTAAAAGCCTGTATAATTAACTATTCTATATTTTAATGTGTTAGGATAGTGAACCTTCAACCCAACAGTTTAGAAGAAGCTTCGCAAAAAGAAAAGTGAAAAAGTGATTCCTAATTATAGTGAGCTCTCTGACGGAGAGGAAATTGAAATTGAATCAAATCTCAAAAAGGCATTTGATAAAGAATACGCCAAAATGAAGGACCATCTGAAATGGAAGCTTCAATGTACAGGTCGAGTTGTGGAAGACACTTTATATGAGTGTATGTCAGATTTTACATCAGAACGGTAGGTTTATCGGGTTAATATTTGGAATTTTCTTCAAATATTACGAATATAAAATTAACTAATTTAATATGTAATAGTTTAATCCATTCATTTATTATAGACGTCGACGATCCAATAATTCAAGGAATCTTTTATCCTCAAGGATTACAGGAAATCGCCGAAACGAATGTTAAAAAAGATCCGAATTTAAGTTTTAATCTTTATGAAAATCTAGCGAGTTTTTACAATAAGGTGGCTTAAAAAATCGTTGAAAATCGGTATTATCTGATTGTTACCATATTTTATACAGGGTAGCATTGAAGAAATAAGAATGATCATGAAAGAAATTGATCATGGAGAATATAATTTTGAAATAGATACCCTTAAGTATTCAGTTCACAGCCTGTAAATGTTGTACTAAAGTTATATCAACATATGAATCATTATCCAGTGCAAGGTTAGCTTACTTTTTTTATTGTAGAATACGTCAATATAAACGTAATCCAAATGCTTTCTCTTTGGACCATTACGAAGCATTGTATAACATTAATGTTTGGGGTCCTATTATTGATAGAACCGTTAATAATATACCAAATGTCGATATTGTTCGGTAGGTGGTAATAATAAATATTGAAATCACAAACATTCTGAAATACGCAGGATGCAGTTCAAATAGGTTTAGAATGTCGTTTTCTATATTTTTCGTTTTTTTTTTTTTTATAATGATCGTGATCTGCATAATGCCAGCTATTTTCCGAAAATATTGGACTGCGCTCTGCTTTTGTTAAATTTTCTGCTAATTGCAATCTCTATTAGGGGTGAATCATCGAGTTTTTCAAGTTCAGATCGGAAAAACAGAAACCGTACTGTGGATATCCGAAAAAATGGGTAGAAGAGGCGATGCAATAATTAGAAAGACGTCAGATGGAATGAAACTTGAATTGAATTTGGGAGTTCTGAGGTTGGAAAACGCTACAAAGAACAAAATGCGACTAAATGGCTTCACGAATCAGGATTAAAACTTCCAAAAATGATGTGTGACATGTTTGTTAGCTTATGCAAGAATGCAAAATGGGATACAAGAAAAATGGAAAAAATGAAAACCGTAAGTTATATTCATAATAGTATTTCTTAAACTATTTGAAATTCAGGGCAAATTTGTCTTGAATTTTACTATAAAAATACTTTTGATTTATTTTTTCAAACAATAGATATATTTAAGTAAAATTTTTTTTGGTAATATTTAAAAACAAGGATTATATTTTTACAAAATTTATATTTAAATTATAAGATAAAAAATTTAACTTGCTTATAAGTCAAAAATATACAAATTTTAAAAACTTTATAACTAAAAAAAATAATTTATATTTTTTTAATAAACTCTTTAAATATTAATTTTAGACCTATAATTATTTAATAAAAATTCTTGTTTAAATAAAGAATGATAATATTCATTATTATGACTTTTATGATTTACTTGTAAAAATTAAAACTTGTATTAATAGTAAAAAATTTTTTTATAGATGAAAACATATAAAATTTGAAAATTTTAAAGAAAAATTTTATAATAAAAAATTCAAAATAAAAAGGTTAAACTTTTATTATCCTTAACTTAAATTTAAAAATTTTTTTAGTAAACTTATTAAAATATATCTTAAAATATATTTTTTACTTAGAAAGTATATATCTAAAATCAAAACTTCAAATTTTATTTTAAAAATAAGGTTTTTAAAAAAATTTCAGGGCAAATTTGCAGGAGAAACGGTTTAAGAGATAGTATCATTATTTTATTAATACTATTACCCTGATTGTTTAAATGTTTCTAAAATTTTGTATATTTTGTAGGTCTGGTTTTAATGATCATGACGTTAGATCTCCCAGCTGGTTATATAACACGCATTAATAAAAGCGAACTCTATCGTATACCAGAAGACGTCGAGTCTTTTAACGATGCAGTAGAATTGATTACAGCAGTTTGGAAAAGCAAGGTATCATCATACATATTATTTTCGTTTCGTTTTAATTTTCAAAGGTTCTAAATTAATATTCATAGATGCGAGTTGTTAATACAATGTCATTATTAAATAACAAAGAAAGATGACATTGTCGATCATCTGAGGAACGTATCAACTATTAACGTTAAAGGAACTAATACTAATCGAATCAATGAAATTAAAAAAATTCTTTCCGAGAATCAAAAAGAGGCTAAATAAAAGATTATTTGATAATTTGCATTATATAGTACATAATTTCTACATATTACGAAAATAAATTTGATCGTACATTTTGCTTTGTGAAAATTGAGCATATATTTTTAAAAATAAATAGAATCCCATTTATTTGTATTGTTACAAATAAAATATAAAATGCCTAGTTCATATTTTCGAAATAAAAATGCAATCACGAAATTTCTGCGAAGTAGGGTTTGTGGGCCTGTACACGTCGCCTTTACTTTAACGTTAGGTAGACTAATCATGTCAAAAAATTGTCAGTCTCGTGATCTACAAACCATCCAGACCATATTCCTGTATAATTTACCCAAAATTCTATTAATAAAATGGTAGCCCACGTACTGTCCAGGTGATAATTTGGCTGGTAATTCATCATGATTAGGATCATGACAATATTTATTAAATGTTGACATAATTGATTTGATTGCCGTAACCAAATTTCCACTAATAATAAACGAAAAAGAATGAAAATCGAAATAAAATTATAAAAGCTAGTCGAGAAAATGCAACTACACCAGAAAACCTTGTAGATTTTATTTTTAATGCTCTTCCGGACAATTATAACTCTGATTATTTATTTGAGTAAAAGATTTTATAATTCTGAATCCAGGACGTAACAACAAAAAATTATTGAAGAAAACATAATGAACCCAAATGGCTTGTCATTGCATAAATTGGAGGATTATAATCATTTTAAAAGGCAATGGAATATTCTAAATACTCGGAAAAACCACAATCATAATATTTTCTGGTTGTAATAAATATTACGTCTATTGAATTATTCGAAATAAATAAAATGATTAATTTATTTCCTGAATTTTTGTTTGCTCGATATATTTGTCACGTGATGTTAGAAACTTTCTGACGAAATGCATGCATCACGTCAGGTAAGTCGGATAGATTAGTGGAGCAACCTAGGAGCAACCTAGGAGCAACCAAAGTTCAGCAGATCGGGTGGTGAATAATACCCGAGTCTTAATCGTGGGTATTTTTGGAGGATACTGTAGGCAGTGGCCAACTGTTTATCCACTCGATTTGGAAATTTTCTTAGCAAGACATGTTAATATTTCATGATTAATTGATGGGTGTCAGATTTAAATACAACATTGGGCAAATTATAATTGAAGATGTTATTGAGTCATAATAAAGTATTAAACGAATTATTTTTTTCAAAAGAACAGATAAAATCATTAGAGTATTAGGTTTTCATTTTTGACCAGTTATTGTTGAATTACACTTGGCATGTTTTTATGAAATTTGCAATTATGCATCATATGATACCGACTTTTGATTAATTATACAGTAAATAGTAAACTCATTAATCTTAGCAATTATTCTACGTAATTTTTTGTTGTCATTATTCCTTGACAATTGTCCTTGGTGCCTCCTTATCACATATTGTACAGATCGGTGTGGGTGTTGTTATACCTGAAACTACCTCTTATAAGTTCAGTATAACTACAGTATAACGGTTTTACTTTAGCGACAGATATAAGGTTTATTGCGGTTACGCTTTAAGAGATTATATGATTTGCAATTACGAAAGAGGCAAACTGGTAAATGTAGATGAAGATACCAGTAGTCGTATAACAATTTATTGAGTTATTCGTGTATGGAGACATTATAACTAGTTTATTTATTTGAGTTATCCGTGTATGAAGACACGATCACTCTTTATTATTGAGTTGTGGAGCATAGAACTGTTTTTTCTACAAGAGCAATGTTCGAGGCTATTTATATATTACGAATATTACGACCCTTTACTGTTATTTCTATTAATACATCTTTATTGCTATGTGTCACATGATGTTAATTTACAGGGTTCATTCACAATTATTGGTGATTCTTGGTTTAGTACATAATATATATTGACTTCGCCTTCACTTGGAGACATATTGCTTTTTATTTAAAAATTATCGTTATTTTGGCACGTCAGGACAAAAAAAAGAATAGAATGAATTCGTGTGCATGTAATTCTGGTAAAATTTTAATTGAGTTAGAGGTGCTGATATTGCAGAGTTTATCTTTGCATCTCCTATACGCGCGTATTTCTCTAGCAGAAATACATATATATCATAATGTAGCGCAAGTTATATAACACATTAGTGCAAGATTTCTATAAAGCTGTAATGACATGAACAAAGCATCATTATTTTATCTTGGGGTATAGGGGTACTATTCATTGAACTTTAACATGATTGTACCTGGATATAAATCAAATTTAAGCTCACAAATCATCACAGGGTATATCTCATAGGGGTCTACCGCATGGCACTTTACGTATGTATCATGATTGATCTGTCAAAACTATTGATTATAGCTTAAACTATGATACGATATAGAACGGTGTAAGGGATAATGTTCATAGGCGTATATGCTTTTTTTTCTTGTGTTAAAAATCGGTAAAGCTGAAATGTAAAGAAACGATTACTGCTATTTTATTTAATACCAAGAAAATACAACCAATATAAAAAACGTTACGAATATCTTGAAATTTTAGAACAATAATATATATATATTATGTAATTTTTTCAAATAAACTATAAATATGATTGTTTAAAAAATAAATTTCAAATCATTCAAATTATTAAAACTCTTATAATCATCTTTAATTGTGCACAAGTTATTCAAATATAATTTTGTTTTCCTAGTTAAATTAAGGTTAGGGTAAGGGTGTTCATAGATTCCATTTTCGAATTATTTTAGATTTAGAATCTACTAAATGTAACCCAAGTTAATACAAATCTAAAAGCAACTTTAAGTTGATTCTAATTTGATACTGTAATAAATCGTTAAATTTAATAGCAACTTAAGTTTATATAAATTCGATACTGTAATAGATTGACGTAACAAAAGTTGAAGTAAATTGCATTCTGTCATTACAATAAGTTGCCAAATATTTAAATGCAAAATTTTTATTACGTTATTCACTTTTTCATTCTTCACAACTCTTTCTATCCAATAACCGAACCTTAAGATTATCTCGTAACGCACCTGATAAATTGCTTTCTAAATACCTTAGCAGTAAATTGGTTAATAGGCGATGTAAAACCCTTACTATATGTGAAGAATCGGGACGCAAAAGATCGCTATTAAGAAAAACACATTGTTACACATGTCTTGAAACACAAACCAACCTTATAATCCAGCTTATGAAACTTGACTCAAACCCACCTAGGTATCGATAAGTTTTCAGAACTGAATGTATTCCTTCGACGCTCTCAAGAGTTCGGGAAGCATCTATTATACCATTCTCTTTACAAGTAGGTTATGTTAAATGCAATTGCAAAAATGCGTATAATAAAAATCATTGTAATATAAGGAATTTGCCTTGTGATAGAAGTTGTCATCCTGGTGATTATAATGTAAAGATTTTATTTAACGCTTTTATGAATAAATCTTAAATGACTTAAATTCAAAAAAAAAAAAAAATTACTCGATTAAACCAATTTGAATTCCCTAACAATTCGAGTACATGCAATTTAGAATTCCATTACAACCTATGTTTATTCGAAATCTAAGTGGAGCGAACCTAAATATACAATCATTCCATTACGACGTATGGCATATCTGATATATCGGAAACGATATAATCAGAAAAACATTTATCTGAATTTGAATTTTAAACTATAAGTTATCACAAGTAAAGCTATTCAAATTATCTTTTGTACTAAAAAGCTTAATAATATAGTAAGCTTTAACAATCTTTTAGTGAAAAGATTATTTGATTAAAAACGTCATTATTTGAGAGAAGAATCGAGAATATTAATTATGCTACAACATTAAGAAAATCCTTATAGTCAAATTAATGATATGTCTTTTATTTAAATGTTACTTCATCGTTACTTACAACTTTCATCATTTTACAAATATTTTATTTGAAACAAATGACTGAACGAACACCAAAAATCTCTTGGACACCCGAAGAAGATGCACATTTAACAAGCTTGATCAAAGAACATGGCACATCCTGGTCCATTATTGAAAATAATTTTCCACATCGAGATGCAAAAAGTTGTAAAAATCGGTTCGCTGTAATTCTTTATGATTTTCTTTCATTTGCTTGTTGATTTTTCGTTTAACGTAAATGTTCGGACTCAGATGTAAGTAAGGGAATTAAATATTCAACAGCTATAAAAATTAAAAATCTCATTCTTTTTAAGGAGAGTCTGGCACGTTAAACGAAATATCAACTTCATATAAGCTATAATTACATTATTAATACTGTATAGTTTTGCTAAATAGGCACCAATATCTTAAAAGACGCACCACAGATTGGACTGATGAAGAAGATGAAAAGCTTAGACAAGCTGTGGAAGATAATAGAAGAGCCTTTAGCGATGTTTGGAGACTTGTGGCCGAAAAAATTCCCGATAGAACTTGGCAGCAATGTGAAAAAAGATGGAACTCAATTCCAAAACCAAGAAAATAATTTAATACAGATAAAATTTTAGTGGTTTTTTTATTTTTGGATTAGCTCAGCACTGATTAAGTTTCAGAACTCAATAAAGCTCAATAAACATTTTTATTCTTATTATAAAAAGCGTTGCACATACTAGAAAATGAGTATCATATCGGTGCGGCTCCCTTCAGGATAGAGTAGTGGAGTAACCAGTAGATCGACTCAAATTTAGGGTCGGAATAGACCTGGAGCTAGGTCGATACTAAGCAATAATACCAGTCAACTATACTAGAGTAAAATTATCATCTGGGCAGCTTTATTTAGTACGTGGGCTACCATTTTATTAGTAAAATTTTGGGAGAAATTTATCAATACCGACCTTGGATTTTGGTCGATCTGCTGAATTTTGGTTGCTCCACAACTCATAACTCATACAGGAGGAGTCATCAAAATTCTGTGTCGGAATTAACTAATTTTGCCCAAGGTCACTAAAAGTTTTACTAATGAAGTCATGACCTACTCATTTAAGTAAAGCTGTCTAACTACCCAGAAATGATTGACTTGTATTGCTAAATGCCGGCCTAAATCCGATGGATTCAACCCGGAAATTTGGTGATCCCTCTATAAAAAATATTGCACCACTAATCTATCCGTAAACTGCTTTAGACCGTATCTCGAATTTTAGTAAATCGGCCAATCAGATTGCAAAAAACAGCTGTGGGATTCGCGGGAATTTAAAGAATATGTTATAAAGCGAAGCGAAATCATTAATTAATATGTTAAATTTACTCTTGCTTCATTAAAAGGTTAGCTACCCGAGCTTTCAAAAGAAGTATTATAAACAGTGTTATAAATTTAAATAGTGTTTATTGGCGCAAACGTGCGTAAAAAAAATTTTATACGCGCTTTATATGTACGGAGAGCACTGAAATGTGCGCGCCGATCTATAAAAAAAATTATCAATTGTGTGTGACTATATTGGAAATTTGAACGGTCATATGATCTTACGAATTTTGATTTGACGGTGTTCGCGTTTGTTTTTTCGCAAATCGCTATATAAGGGCCACTTTTTTTTTCATATCTTCGTTTTCTTTTGTTATTTTATATTTCTGTATACCTTTATTACATATTTACCACTCTACATGTTTCCATTTACATCTTACACTTTTATTTACTCGCCATCTTTTCGATGTTCTTATTTTGCAGCTATCTTATTTTACCGTTATACTTTGCTGTTATAAGAAGGTAAGTGTCTAAAATTCAGCATCAATTTTTTTTTGAATGGGCGTAAAACAAATAGCATAATTTGATCTATATATTAACTAGCACAATGTTAGCTGTATAATAAATATAGCGCACATATTAATTTGTAAGGTGCGGAATTTTTTTTAAATATACGCTTCACCCCTTCTGCACATTAATTTTAGAAATTAAATAAGTTTCGTGTTAATATTCTGTCGTCAAGCAATTGGATAATAATTGTGTCTCATTATATTACCAATCACTTGACGGTGAAATGTTACAGCTGTTCTAATAATTCTGGGACAAATTAATGGTTTACTTATTACCCGAAATCTTTTCGGTTTCGTTATATAAATTACCTAATTCTCCGGAAACTACATCGCCTTCTCTGGACTGAATAGTTGATGTAGTTGCCGGGCGGATCTTATCAACTCCCCGACAGTATTAGTTTCCCGAAATTATGGGTGGATTTTGTTGATTTTGGTGATTATATTAAAAATAAATGGGAGCTATCAATAGAACTAAAAATTTTGCCTTAACTTTCATAGCTCATTTCTTGATACTATCTTGATGATTTAATATTCAAAAAATAGCTTATATCGTAAGCTTTCTTTTGACTATTAAATCATTAAGATAGTATCGAGAAATGAGCTATGAAAGTTAAGGCAAAATTTTTTCTCAAATGTCAATCTGCCTTATTTCTATTGACGGCTGCCCAAATGATAATAATTCATGAAGTTTGATCTAATTATTTGTGAATTGTATGATTTGTTAATTGTCTTCTGAGTTATGAATTGCTTATGAAACCGGTTATTATTATGAAAACATGATTAAATTAACCATTTTAATTGTATTTGATTGGTTAATCGTATACTTGCTTATTAATATTTTGGCACATATTGAATCTGTGATTGTAGCCAATAAAATCACAAGATTACATGTAACATAAAAATTCGAAAAAACATTGAGAAAACAGAAAAATCGCAAATAACCACAGTTTGACACGAAATTATGGTTATGTGAGTACATTTAAAAAATCGAATATCAATTAAGTTAAAGTCTGCGCTAAATTCTAATCTTTATGCTCTTTCGATTTGATGATTGTTACAAATTCAGTACATGCATTATTTTGATATAATGACTATGCACAATATATTTTATTATTCAGTATGGTTATGTAATTCTATTGTATCACTTAATTTTTAAACCATGTTCCGTTATCATTACAATTGCCCGGTCCCTAATTAATTAGGGGAAATTACAACATATAGGGGTCCGAAAAATTAAAATAATTACAAGTAAAGACCCAAAGTGAAAATAATTATATATAAGGGACCAATTTTAAAAAATTTTGTAATTAATATTTATCAGTAATGTAATTTTTATTCGATTCTAAATTAATAAGTATCCAATATTATGACTAGTTACGAAATTTGAATCACATTGTTTTGGAGGTTGCTACGCGTTAATCGAAGATATTTAAAACCACAAAACTTTGTAGAAAAAGTTAAATTACTTCTAGAAATTGGCAAAAATAGTTATAATTTTTACATGCAAGACGTTAAGAAAATAAATGAGATACTGATTAAAAAAAGTAATACATTTAACTGTCAAAAGAAATTTTCATTTAATATTAAAAAACCTACAATCGATAAATTCGGTCCCTTGATTGTAATATTTTTCAAATTTTGGATCTTATATTATAGGTAATTATTTTCATTTTTCAGACCCTTAAATGTAATTTTCCCAATTAATTAATTAGACACGTCATAATTAAGTTGATCCGCATATCCAACATGAGGAGCCATCAATGTTGCACAACTAATCCAACAGGTGAAGGATTATAACATGAACAATAATTTTTTTATGAACCGCACACCAGGTGAGGGATTAGTTGTTCAACATTGACGTTCCTCCTGTTTGCATATCAGTGATCCAATCCCGATTAAATTAATTACTTCATATTACGTGTACCTAATTATTTGATATATCTTGTAATAATTACTCATTCTAATTCGCTATTGAAGCTAAATTTGGTGATATATGAATAACGACTCTTCCAAAACAATAGTAACAGCATATAGGAATACAGTCACAGACACGCAACAACATCGTCGCACACGTTCAGCAGGAGTTATGCAAGATCCTGTTCTTCATATTAATTCTCACGACATTGCTCAAGGACCTGTTTTTTATAATGATACTCAAGTTCCTCTGCTTGATACCAATTCACATGAGGCTATTCAAGTTCCTTGCATTAATTCCTATGCTGTACAAGTACCTAATTCTCAAAAAATGTATGTAATACACTAGATAACTTACTATTATTATGGATTTGAATTTTATATGCTTATTTCTTTGTACAACATTAGCCCTATATCATTAGGACGTAAACAAACTTGGAAATTCATTCTTTCTATGACATGCAACACTGTGGTGCTCTTAATTCTTCCTATCTTATTGATCCCAAAGTGTTTGATGCTGATACAACGAAAATTATCCCCAAGTTATTCTATATCTAGTCTGATAGTAATCGGATTGATTTTTTTTATCATATTCTTTAAATCACATAATTATAAGGAATATGCAGAGTCTGAAACACGACTCGTCCCGAACTATGCACTTCTTTCGGGTGGTGCACGTGTAATTCCTCATATGACTTCTAGTGAATATGTTGGTTATCCGGAAGAATTTATTAAACGTCAGATTTCGAAAATATTTAATATCAAGTCTACCCAATCAAAACCGGCAAAGATTGTCTTAACATCAAATAATGAAGCAGGAAACTGCTTTTGTTTTACTAGCACTCATGGACAACTTGCAATTCATTTAAGTCACAATATAAAAGTAACTTCAATCACCTACGAGCATTTAAACCCTGCATTGGCCTTGGTTCCAGATGACATGCGACGTGCACCAAAAACATTCGAAATCGTTGGTATTTCTGTTGACTCTCAAGAGAAAAATGATGAATATATTCAACTTGGTAGCTTCGTCTATGAGCTTGATGGACCTCCGGCCCAAAGCTTTGCAATAAAACATCCAAATTTGGAATTATTACCAGTAATGAAGGCTGTTGTCTTAAAAATTAAGGACAACTGGGGAGATGAAGAGCTCACATGCTTATATCAAGTGAAGGTCCATGGTAGAGTTTAGAACTGGGTTATAGTAAACCGGGTCACTCGTGTCAAAACGGTTAAGTTGGGTCAAAAATTTACAACTAGGGTCAAATCGGTTGAATATATGTAACCTCTAAAATCTGTTACTATTACACAGAAAACATAAAATTTAACGTTAACACATTATTATCGATTAACAAAATATGTTCCTCTAAATTACAGCTAAACATATTAATTAATAGAGCAGACACCGGTTTATGCATACAATCTTTATAGTTCACTATAAAAAATCATTGTTAAAAGTAATTTTTACACTTATTGTTATAAGTAAATTTCGCACTTATTTTAGCACCTTTATAATGCGAGATACGCTATTATAATTTGCTAAGTTATAGAGAACCTTTATACTTTTTTTGCAAATTTGTTTCTTAATTTGTAAGGAAATATATAAATAAAAGATCTGTATACTGATTTTTTATAATTTATTATAGAAAACTGTTGCAAAAACCAATATTCTTTTATATAATGTTCTTATTAAATTACTATTTTCTTTTAAGATAAATTGAACAATATATATATATATTTCTAATTTTATACAAAATATAACTTATAATTTTTAAAGAAATTTTAAGTTAAAATAGTATAATTTTTTTATATTTTGATAAAAAGTAAATAAGAGCAGTTTAATAAAATATTAATAAGAATGAAGCTTTTTATTTTTTACAATTAGGCAATATAAAGTTTCAAATTATTATTTTGTATTTTAAATATTTTATAAAAACTAATTTAATTATATATTATTATATACAATTTTAAAATTTTAAAATTAGAATTTTTAAGTTTCGGATTATAGTTTCGGGGTTTCAGTTTTTTTTTTTTAAAAAAAAAATCCGAAACTAGTTTCGGGTAGGTTTCGTTTCAAGTACCAACTCTAATTAATACTCTTTATATGTAAGTGAGCTATCTTTAAATACTTGATCTAACTTGATCTAAGAGTTTTAAAAGGTTCGGTTAGATATGAAAAACGTATTAATAAAAAATTTACTTAGGTTATACGAACAAATTGAAAAGTTGTCATATTATCAGGTTTCATATGACTTTCGTATAACAACATTGTAATACATTATATTTTAACCAATCATATTTCAACTTGATGATCAGAGCCAACGGCCAATAGAAACGAACTTCTTCTATCTTGCATCACTCTAACGCTAATATAATTTTGGTCAACTAACTTATGCCACATATTTTCCATCATTTACTGTATATTAATAGAGATTTAGGGGTCGGTACAAAAAGCTTATTTTCCGACCAAAAATTCATATATTTTTAGGTTTAGTACAATCCTGTACCGGCGTAGTATTTAAGGGTAGAGGGTACGTAGATCATTTTGATATAGTTTTATATGGTATTTTGAAATTTTCATATAAAATTGAAATATACTACTTATAAAACTTTTTTAAATTACAACCAATTTTTATTAAA